AGAGAACAGTACGGGGCTAAAGACTCCAAGCTGTATTTCATCACCAAAAAAGATCTTTGGAACATCACGTCAAAATATGAGCACACTCCGGTAATGTGCCACAAAAACGATGTCATTTCGATGAAGCTCAGAGAAGAAGAAGACAACCTAAAAGACGGTATACGATATTTCAAAGCTCAGCATGAGTCAAGCAGAAAAGGACTCTTATTAGGTTAGTTCAAAAACATTTCACATAGACGGAGCGTATTTTTCAAAAGGCTTGTTACATTCATCTCTTCAAGAAAACTCCTGCCTCTCGTAGGAGGTCGGAAGAGTTAATGAGTGAGAAATTAATTGGTACGTGGCCGTCGTATCATTATCATTGGTACGCAAAGGAGCCATTTGTTTGCATTTTTTTTCCAATTTTCCCCCAACTGCCACAATTTATTCGAGCGAAATTCACGATCGGTAAATTTAGCTTCAATTCGTGCGTACATTGATAAAGCATGAAATGAATATTCCTCGGTTCTTTAAACACTCACGCTCGTCCTTTAAACCTTTTTGAGCCAATTCGTCATCAATATGTTTCGTCGTGAAGCAAACGAGTGTTCACAAACCATCATTTTGAAGCGAAGATAATTAGATCATAAAGGATACCATCGTTATCGCAGCGAGCACGTGCGTACCGAGCCTGGGAACGTCCGTGCTGAACGATGGTTAGCGAGGATCATTGTGTTTTTCCTGCTGAATGGACAGCAAAGCCGATGGCAGCGGTAAGATTTTGTAAAAGAATGGAACACATGATGACCAACAAGCACAAGACTTCTAGAGATCTCAAAAGAGACCACTATGCTCAAAAGCTGCTCGCTTATGTGCTGTAAGATCCTTGCATTACATTACGTGTATGTAGATCAGAGAAACTCCTTCAAAAACAACTTCAAAGCAAGAGCGTGGAACATGTCTCACACCAGTCTGAGAATGATGACTGTAAACTGCTCTTTTCTGTCATGAGTTCTCTTAAGAAGTCCAGCAGCCGTGGAATAGGACTTTCAAGAAACTTCGAACCCGAACCATTTCTGGGGAACTCAAATGCCTTACCCGTTATTCCGGAGTAATCCATTGGATAATACAGAAGGTTACCTGTTAAAACAAAGAATAAATTCACTAGCTTTGACAATCTCGCTCAAAGGATACAACTCCGCATTTGTCTTCAAATCGAAGTCGCATCTGAACTATACTGTACATACTACTACCTGGAGGGATGGAACGCTTGATTCAATTGTTGCATGTTGATATATTCGCTTATGAGTTTCTGCATACGTGGCGAAAGTTGGGAATGTCTATTTCATTTTATACTCATCTTGAACGAGCTTGTTTTGAAAAGCTGATTTTTGATTTGAGCAAAGCTCGGCTTCAAAGGTAAAAGAACTTTACGACACCACGTCGCAGAGTCTGTCAGACTCAATGGAATACAACAATTTCCTTGGTTTCCGGCAGATTCAGGAACGCGTCAAAGCTCCGACTGTACAAAGTCCCGTCCGAGTCCGAACTTTTGCCCACAAATCGCCAACCTTGTG